GAGCAAGCTGCTCCGTGAAGCCACCGTGGTCTCCGCTGCTCGGTCCTGACCGGTCAGGGTTTCGCCTCCGGTGACTTCGACCACAGGGTCCCTGGGCAGCCTCTGGGAAGCCCCGGGAGTCGGCTCCTTCCTGCGGGGGGGTGGAGGGGTGTGGGGACTGTCATCCCCAAGGATCCCCGTGGCTCCTCAGAGTCACCTGGTCCCTTTGCCGGCACCACCATGGCCAGGCGTGACCACACATGAAACCTGCCCAGATGGCAGCGGGCAGCTGGCTGGAGGGACCCGGTGCAGGGAGGGGACCCCGGGATTGCAGATTAAGGTCACGTCCCCAATGTCACCAAGGAGGTGTGGGCCTGCAGAGTCAGGGTGAGGGGGTGCTGAGCTGGCTGAATGCTCGTCCCCAGCTGGGGACAGGCTGGGTCGCCCCTTGGTGGACCAGTGGCCAACGCAGTGTCCACTACCGCTGGGGTTCGGTTCCGTGGGCAGGAAGAGGCAAGGCTGGATGGCACAGCGGCCTGGGGACCCCTGGTGGCTTCCCATAAGGAGCAGGTGGTCTCTGCAAATCTCCAGGGTGGCCGTGGAGGGGTGCGGCGTGTCCCCGCTGGACCTTTTGCAAAGGTCACTCCCGGGCTCAGAAGACGCTCTCCTGCCTCTTGAGGCCGGGCCGGCCGGTGCCCTGCAGCGCGTCCGCGGGGCCGGCGGCGGACATGGAGCGCGCCGAGAGCGTCCTGGCGGAGAAGAGGCTGTCGCGGCGCGTCGTGTCCAGGCTGTCGCTGGGCAGGCGGCCGTAGCCCAGGTAGTGGCGCAGGCGCAGCTGGAACTCGCGGGAGGCGAAGTAGTAGACGAAGGGGTCCAGGCAGTTGTTGAGGCAGCTGAGGCAGAGGGTCAGCTTGTAGACGTGGTAGTAGCTGCGGCCGAAGAAGAGCCGGCTGACCATGTGGACCAGCAGCACGAAGTTGTTGGGCGCGAAGCAGGTGACGAAGGCCAGCAGCACCACGGCGGCCAGGCACACGGCGCGCCGCCGCTGGCCCTGGTCCGGGCGTCCGTCGGCCGTGCGCAGCAGCTTGGTGATGGTGGCCGTGTAGCAGGCCACGGTGACCACGAAGGGGATGAGGAAGAGGAGCACGAAGATGGTGAAGAGGAACAGGGCCCACATGGCCACGCTGGGCAGCATGGTCCACTTGAGCACGTCGAAGCACGTGACGATGCCCAGCGCGTCCACCTCGTAGGTGAGATCCGTGCGCGCGAGCGGGAAGAGCGCGGCCAGCAGCAGCGCCCAGGTGCCCGCGCAGGCGGCCAGCGCGTAGCGGCGGCGGCGCCAGCGCGCGGAGCTGAGCGGGTGGACGACGCCCAGGAAGCGCTCGACGCTGATGCACGTCATGGTCAGGATGCTGCAGTACATGTTGGCGTAGAAGGCCACGGTGACCACGTTGCAGAGGACCTCGCCGAACACCCAGTGGTGGCCGTTGCAGTGGTAGTAGATCTGGAAGGGCAGCACGCTGGCCAGCATCAGGTCCGTGACGCTCAGGTTCATCATGAAGATGACCGACGGCGACTTGGGCCCGATGTGGCGGCACAGCACCCACAGCGAGAAGAGGTTCCCGGGGATGCTGACCAGCACCACCAGCGAGTAGACCACGGGCAGCGCCACGGCGATGGCCGGGTTCCGCAGCATCTGCAGCGTCGCGTTGTCCGGGCCGCTCACGTTCATGTCCACCAGCCCCATCACCGCCGCCGTGGACACGTGCTCATCCTCGCGGACCTGCAAGGGGAGGGACGCAGAAAGGGTCAGGGAGCGCACCACAGGGGCCCAGGGACAGGAGGCCCCGGAGCCCGTCCCCAGGGAGCCACCTCAGTGCCCTTCAGCAGGTGATGGATAAAGAAAATGTGGTACGTGTACACCGTGGAATATTACTCAGCCACGAAGAAGAGTGAAATGATGGCCGTTCGCTGGTCAAGGAAATGGAGTTGGGAGACACCAGGCTGACCAAGCTAAGCAAGTCCCCAAAAAGACGGAGGACAAACGTTCTCCCTGATATGCGCATGCTAACTCACACTAAGAGGGGGACTAGGGGACAAATAGAGGTATGGTGGACTAGGCAGAGGGGACTGAAGGGAGGGGAGGGACGGGGGGGGTAGAAAGGACCGGAGAATGAATGGGACATGGTGACCCTGGGTGCATATAGGACCACAGGACCCGGGTGATTCTACACCATGTCCAACCAGAAGGAGGAGAAGTGACAATCCATTTACGGAGGACGCGTCCCACTGCATTCTACGGTCACCGAGAACATTTGGGACAGGGCCCTGCCTGCTCCCCAGGGACAAGGGACCCGGTGCCCCACCGGCCCGTTGGCACTCAGGCCTCTGAGCACCCGGAAGCTCCTTTGCTCCTTGTGTGTGTCTTTCTCCCTGGAAGTCGAGGGAGCGCCTCGTGAGGGACGCTGCACTGGCTTCCACCTTGGGTCGCCGAGGCCGCTGGACATCGCCCAGCGACCTCGCTTCCAAGCCCGGGAGAGGTGATCTGGTCACCTCCAGGGTGGGGAGGGGTGTCCCAGAGGCCGGCTCGGCTCTCAGGCCTGGTTCCTCATTTGCACAGGGTCAAATCGAGGTCCCCCATCCTAATCAGGGTCCCGGGAGACCGGCCGCATTTGCCTGGGTACACGGAGGTGGGGGCTGGTCCAGTGGGGAGGCTCGGCTGCCCCAGGGAGGGCCCGTCACCCAGGCATCTGGCTCCACCCGGGAGCTGCCATCGGGGGGCCACCCAGGGGAAGGCAAATCAGGGTCCCTGTGGCCTCTCCCCTCCCCCACCCCGAGGCCCCATTTCCCGTGATGGATTTTAAGTCCCACAGAATCTCGGGGTCTGGGTCGGTGGCTCCCAGGTGC